CCGGGCTGTCCGCGTGTCTTCCTGGCAGGTCCCGGCGCCCCACCGCGGGCCGAGGGGGTCGGGAGTGGACCAGGCCTGTGCCCTCTCAACCTTGCCCCTCCCCATCTTCCTCATGCAGCAGACAGCCCGGGACCCGGTGGATCCGCGGCAGAGACGAGGCACTCATGTCCTCGTTCGGCTGTCACTTCCAGCCGTGCAGGCCCAAGCACAGGCCCTCCCGCTGGCAACCGGCGGAGCTCTGAGCGGGGCTGGCGAGCTTCTTCCGTGACGGGCCAGGTGGTAGATGTTAACGCTTGAGGCCCGTGCGGTTTCTGTTGCAACGATTCGGTGTTGTCTTTGCCGTGAAGACACGGACGACGTGCACACGAGTGAGCACGGCCTGTTCCAATAAAGCTTTATTTGTGAAAGCAGGTGGAGAACAGGATTGGCCCCCGGACTCGTTAGTTAACCCCACTCTCAAGGGACAGCTGAGGCCGTGGGAGGGGGCATCATTACGCCGTTACGCTCTGTGTGAAGCGCTCTGCGTGCCACCCCAGCACGTGCGTCCTCGAGTCCCCTTCCGCGTGTCCTCTGGGCCCAGTTGCACGTTACACGCAGAGCAGGGGACCCAGCAGCCTGAGGCAGCTGAAGTCCGCGGTTCACGTGAAACACGCAGTGTGCGTGTGTGCCACGGAGAGCCTCGTCGTTGGCATCCTGGCTTCCCACGGGCCCTCGTGTGTCTCTTTCCTTTGTGCCACATTGCCACAAAGACAAAAAGAAGCCAAGGGAAAACATGGACTAAAGGAGAGAGAACACCATCTCCTCGGAGTAATTTTCCAGGATTTCTGAGCTTCGTCCGCATAACGAGGGCTCCTGCAAAGCCGTTCTCTCCAGGATGCAATATGTCAGTTGTACAACACCAGCAATGTCCCAACTCGTGGCCTTTGAGAAGGTTCTGGGTCACAGGGCAACTCTGGGCACACGGGCTTTTCCCAGTAAACATGTGGCTTCTGTCCCCATGACACGCCTGACACAGGCTCCCGTGTGGCGCTGTCCCAGGGTGGGGGAGCACTGGGTCCTAGTGGGGTGATGGAAACCCACTGAGCGAGACTGAGGAGAAGGGACTGTGGCCAGTCAGTGGACACAGACGCCTTCGCCATGCGGCCACATGCAGTCGGTTGACGGGGTGGCTTTGGAGGGCTTAGTGATCAGAATGCCTGGGGCGCCCGGCCTGGTCGCCGGCTCGAAGGACGGGTGGCCGTGAGCTCTGCGGCCGAGGTACCCTGAATCGGGAGGGATTGTGTTTGCAGAAACGAGGCTTAGACGTGAACTGGTGCTTCGCTGGGTGGAAACGTGTTGACACTGTTTTCTGAGACACGTGCGAGGGCTGTTTCTACCATTTCTGCAAACGACTCGGAAGAGGCTCACTCTCTAAATGTCACGGTTTCATAAGGACACCACAGGCTGCCCAAAGGCACCCATCGGCTGTGACACAGTAAACAGATAGTCATGCAAATCAGCTTTCAAGGATGACAGACCTCTGCTGTGGCCGAGCTGGGAATAAGCGATGAACATCTGCTCTGAAAGGTTCAGATCCGAGGCAGGAGGAAAAGGCAGCCATGCTGCTGCTGAGCCAGCCCGCGACTCCCCGGCCCTGTGTGTGACGACACGTTTGCCAGAGGGAAGCACATGGCAGAGACGGGAGACAGGGAGGGAACGAAAACGTGTTCACGTAAGGAAAAAACCAGACTAAACAAACGTTAGTCCTCGATCTGAGGCAGGGCAGGCGTAGCTCCGTGAAGGCTGCAGGACGCGGAAGGAAATTTTGTCGTGACTTTGGAGTCACGGAAGTGCAGGGCGTCTCCTCACGGGGGAAGTGGACCGCTTTCTTCCTTCCTTACTCGTGTGTGTGCATGTAAATAGCCCTTTCGCGGGCTCGAAACAGAAACTTTGAAAAAGGGACAGTCCCTGTCGCCGCCGTCCCTGCGCCCAGCTCTCCTGCCCCACAAGCCAGTACGTCTTCCTTGATCCTTAGATGTCTTTGTTGCGCGTGGAAATAATGTCTTCGCGGCCTCCCTCCCACAACCGGTGACGGCGACACGGGAGATGCGCAGTCGGTGACGGTGACGCGGGAGACGCGCGGTCGGTGACGGTGACGTGGGAGACGCGCGGTCGGTGACGTGGGAGACGCACAGTCGGTGACGGTGACGTGGGAGACGCGCGGTCGGTGACGCTGGGACCTGTGGGCGGTGACGCCGAGGCCGCAGACGCGCAGCCCGCACCTTGCTTCAGCCGCAGCCTTTCCCCTCGGGGATTCTCGCGTCTCCGACCATCGAGCGCTTGTCTTTTCTCCAGGCGCTGGCACCACCGCCGCGGGCTGTGCCTCGACGCCCCCCCCCCAGGTCCTCCCGCGGCGCTTCGGGACCCAGGGAGCCGGCACGAGCTCGATGCCTTGCCTTTCAGGAAGCGGGGTCCTGGCGGTTCTGCTGGTAGCGCTGTTTCTCGAACCCGTAAGAGACGTTCCGCAGAAAAGCGAAGCAGAGGACCGATCTCCATCTTTTCGGTCCACTTTACTGTCGACCTTCAAGCTGTTTGGAGACAAACGTCTGCGTTTCCTCATTCTGCTGCCGATGTACAGTGGATTCGAACAGGCTGCCTTTCAGGAAGCGGGGTCCTGGCGGTTCTGCTGGTAGCGCTGTTTCTCGAACCCGTAAGAGACGTTCCGCAGAAAAGCGAAGCAGAGGACCGATCTCCATCTTTTCGGTCCACTTTACTGTCGACCTTCAAGCTGTTTGGAGACAAACGTCTGCGTTTCCTCATTCTGCTGCCGATGTACAGTGGATTCGAACAGGCTTTTCTGGCGGGCGACTACACCAGGGTAGGACCTGGCGGGTGAGACACCGGGGTAGGACCTGGCGGGCGACGACGCCGCGGTGGGTACAAAAGAGTGAAAAGCTGCACAGAGAACGGGTTTCTGTTGCCCCAACCTGTGTTGTGACTGAAGGGCCGACGGGGTGTCACAGGCTACGTGCCCGAGCTCCTGGTGCTGTGCTGGGTCTTTCTCGACCGGAGGATAATTGAGTTTACAGTTCAAGATCTCAACTGCCAGGTGACCTTCAGCTCCCCGAGCTCGGTCCTACATCACGGGGACACTGTTTGCTTGAGACGTGACTCCAGGGCAGAGGACCAAAGCTGTTCCCGATCATCACATGTGACATTTGCCTGTGCGGTGCTAACCTGCATCTCCCCCACACCCTTACTGAAAAATAGGGAAACACGTGAAATCCACGAACAGCACTGACATTTCTTATCACGCGCGCTTTTAAACTATGCATCACGCATAGAAATGGACGTGGCTCTCAGGCATTGTCCCCCACCCACTCAGACCACCCTCCTCCCCTAAATGCCCCTGACCCCGGCGCTGCCTGCCCGCTTTGTGGATAGGGGGCGCCCTCTCTGGGGGTGGCAGGCAGTGCAGGAACACTGAGCAGGCAGAATGGCCCTTATCCCCTAGACAGACACAGTCAGAACTCACAGTCACCTTCCCTCGTATCCTGTCACCAAGTTTCCATGTCTCTACTTCCCCTGCCCAGGTGGTATGCTGTCCTAAAGAACCTTCTGGAATGCCACAGAAGGGATGGCATTCCATCTGGGGACATTAGTGTGTTGAGACTCCCTTTTCCAGAAAGCGTTTGGTACACACCGGGCCATGTGGGGGCTGGAGAGAGCCAAGGCCAAGGTCTCTCCGAGGGTCGGCCTCTTCGTCCAGGAAGGAGACGTTCCTGCCCTGTGCCCCCGCCTCTCCCTTCTGCATAGAGCGGCCAGATGAGGAGGCGGCCAGCGAAGGAGCGGGACGCCCGCCGGCTGGCGTTTCGGACGCGGCACAGATCTCTCTGCGCAGGCACACCCCACCCCACGTGGCACGTGGGCGTCCTGGGGTTGCTCTGCCCCCTTCTCCTGGGACAGCCTGGACGGAGCGTCCCAGAGCTCCGAAGAGCAAAGACAAGACAGCAACACTCCCGCTTGGTGTTCGGACACGGCCCTCCCATCGGACTTGTCGTCGGCCGCCCTCGTGTGCCTCGGCCACTGCCCTGCCCTCGTGTGCCGTGGGCCTCCTAGCCAGGGCCCTGGCGCTGCCTGGGGACACGCGTGTCCTCGTGCTCCGTGCAGAAGCTCCGTCTCGTCCTCTGCTGAGATTCTGTCGTGTGGTTTCCATCATCTTCTCGTTTTTTGAGACTTTAATTTTTTAGGGCAGTTTTAGGTCCATAACGAAATTGAGCGGTGGGTACGGAGGGTTCCCCCACAGCT